ATGGCAAGGCCACTGTCTCACCATAGCTGCCATATCTGCACCTCATCTTTGCGACCCTGCTGGACTCTTTCAAGCAGTTCCTGTCCTTCTGGAGCTGAGGGCCCAGCACTGGACACAAGATTGCAGCTGTGGTGTGAGCAGGGCAGAGCAGAGGGGCAGGAGAACCTCTCTGCCCTACAACCACCCCTTCTCATCCACCCCAGGATGGCGTTGGCCTTCTTGGCTCAAGGGCACATTGCTGGCTCATGGGCATTGCTGCCACCAACACCCCAGGTCCTTTCCAGCCACTCGTCCCCTGTAGCGTCCATGGGGTTATTGCAACCCAAGGGCACTTGGCCTTGTTGAAGCTCATCCAATTGGCCTCAGCCCATTTATTCATGGATGTGGCACAAAGCGGTGCTGTACATCCAGCAAAAGGCAGTTTCATGGAGCAAAACTGTTGAAATGATGGCACCCAAAGGCTGGGCTCAGATGACAAACCCCAGCCTGTGGGCAGCCCTGGCTGCAGGCACCGTTCCCTTGGACACAGAGGGCTTGGAAGTGCTGCTTTTCACCCCAAACCATGGACAAACAGCGTTGTGAAACAGCAGAGACTCTGAAACAAAATAATATCAGTCACCACCCACACAGTGCTGCGAGCTGTGCCAGATCTCCCCCGAAATGCAGCGTTCACCCCTGAGCAGCCAAATTTAGCCAGAATTTGGCTCTTCCATTCAGTTGTATACATTTGAGAAAACCTTATTCTCTGGCAGATGAATCTGTGCTTGGTTTCTCCAGGGTGAGAATGATCTATGTCTCCTGATGGGGAACATCTCTGTGTGCTGGGATCGGGATAGGGCTGACGGTGGAAACCACAGGGAAACAACAGGCAGAGAGAGGTAACAGGGTAGTAAGTGAGCGCCTTGGCGCTTTCCCACAAAAGCAACATATTTCACAATGAAATCCCTGGGAGGCCTTTCTTCTTTTATGGGAAAAATGTAAAAAATGGCCCTAATCAACACCAGGTCTTTCAGAGAAAACAACTGGACAGCAGCAGCTTATTTCAGAGAGCACAGCCCTTCCTCTGTCCTTGCTCAGGTGTCAACAGGAGCTGCCCTTGCAGCCCAAACCGAGCACCTCCCATGTCCAGAATGGGGTCACCCTGCTCCCCACCTACTCTGGAGCTCCCTCTCCAGCGTGGATACTGGGGCAGGACAGGGGCTGACCCACAGATTCACCGTTAATGGGGTTAGCATTAAACTGGTTTATTCAAGAGCAAGCACCAGGGAAATCACAGAGTCATTAAGGTTGGAGAAGACCTCCAAGATCACCCAGTCCAATGTCAACCCAACCCCACCATGGCCATAAACCACGTCCCCAGGTGCCACATCCACACAGTTTGTGAACCCCTCCAGGGATGGGGACTCCACCACTGCCCTGGCACCACTGCTTGACAACCCTTTTAATAAATAATTTTTTCCCAATATGCCTGGCGCATACCTGAGACCATTTCCTCTCGTCCCATCACTTGTTATTTGGGAGAAGAGACCAACACCCACTTCTCTACCCCCTCCTTTCAGGGGTTGCAGAGAGCAGCATCCCCTGGAGGAAGCAGGCTGAGGTCCTGGTGCTGGCTCACAGGATCCGGGTGTCCCAGGAGAGGTGGTGACAAAAGCCAGCCATCGAGCCCAGCTTTCCTGCGTGATTTCAGAGCAGCCACTTGCTTTTGTTAGAAAAAGGAAGCCGAGTGCATTACCTAATCCAGGGCCAGGTGGCTGGAGCTGAGGGAAGGCAGCCGCTTTGTGGAGAGACAGCCAGCGAATTCGTAAGACTGAATCCCCAGTGTACATTTAATGCACCTGGGGAGATTTCTGTGCTGCAAATGCCCTGTGGGAGACGCTTGGATCAGAGATGCATACAGGGCAGAGGGACATTGCTGATGCACGAGAAGTCTTTGAGGCTTTAGTGCCTCAAATCCTGCACTTTTCTGCAAATCCAATCTTGGATGTCTCAGGCTGAGGATGCAGAAGTTGAAATACACTTTTTATCTCCCCCTCTTAGTCAGTGCTTTTGATATTGGATGTAAATCTCTCAGTGCTGATGCCATTCCCCTCTGCTGGGCTGGGGGATGTGGCTCACACACCCCTGGGGATGACTCCAGGGCACCCTGCTTGCACCATGGACCTAGGAAGGGGAGCTCCTTCTTTGAGAAGGGGAAGAAAGCTGGGGGGGATCTGAGCATATGAATTATGGCTGAGGTGAAAGAGTGGGGTGAAAGAGTGGCCAAGCACTAGAAGGAGCTGCCCAGGGCAGTGGTGGAGGCCCCATCCCTGGAGGGGTTCACAAACCGTGTGGATGTGGCACTTGGGGACATGGTTTAGTGGCCATGGTGGGGTTGGGTTGACGTTGGACTGGATGATCTTGGAGGGGTTTTCTATTCCTAATGACTCTGTGGTTCTGTGAAAGTGCCCCTGAGCTCTGCACCCCTAACAGGAGCTGCAGATGATATTTCACTTTTCTCCATAGCAAATACAGAGATTCCCCAAGCCGAGGATCTGCAGGAGCTGTCATGAGCTGTATTAGAGAATGAACAAGGCAGAAAATTCCTTCCAGGATTTCTCAATTTATACCTGATTTTTCAAAGCCATCTTTAAAAAAACACACCTCATCTTGACTGTGGGGGTTTCTAAGGCTACCTTAGGAAATTTTTCATATGATGATTTCAAATTTAAGGCGCACTTTGTATTTTCTGTCCATCAGAGCAGCTCCCTTGGCCTGCTGCTCACATGGGCTGAGGTTTATACTGGTGCAAACTGGAGCAAAGGAAATGAAAGAGGCTCAGTACTGATGCTGTAAGTTCTGCAGCGGACAAATCAGTGTTCACGGCTGTGCCATGGGCTGAGGTTTATACCGGTGCAAACTGGAGCAAAGGAAATGAAAGAGGCTCAGTACTGATGCTGTAACTCTGCAGCAGACAAATCAGTGTTCATGGCTGTGCCATGTCCACATCCATCACTTTAATTGATAGATCATAAACATGTCTCTGTACAGCGTCCTGGATTAATTCCTGCGGAGGACAACCGAAAGGATAAATTGGATTAAATACAATCAGATTTGTACGGCCGCAGGCTGCTGGATGTCTCTTCTTGTTTCCCCTGCAGATGCTGGATGTGATGCTTTGGATCCCTCATGGAATTAAACCAGTGTTTTTTCCATGTCCATCGATGGGGTGATGCTGGTTTACACCAGATCTGCAGCACCGTGCCTGTCCACCTCACACAAGGTTTCAGATCGTTCCAGATTTGTCAAAATACGTTTGAATATTGGAGAAAATGGACTCGGGGCAGGGTGGTCCTTTTTCTTGGTTTGTGGCACCAACGTCACCGACCTCGTGTCACGCCAGCTTGGCCTGTGGGTTCATGGGGGAGGAAATCAGATTTGGGCAGCACCACATCCCAACCCAGGCTCTGCCCCCGGACAGCTCAGGGACACTGATGATGAAGGAGGCTCTTGCTCTGCTGCTGTGTAAGGACGCATCATGCAGTCCAAGCCTTAATAGAGCTCTGAATTAACTCCTTTTGGGTTTCTCCTGTTCTCTAAACAAGACTCAAGTTTTGGACCAAACAAGATAGCAGTTCCAGGCAATACCAGCTGTATTTTGAGTGCAGGGTGGACACGGTGCCCAGGGGCTCTTGCAGGACCTCAATGTTTCAGTTTGCCTTTGGTTTCTCAACCCAGGGTAGCAAGTTCAGAAAACCACTCATTTTTTAGCCCCAAAAGCTGTGTTTGCAGAGGAGCGAGGTGGGGTAATGCATTTTGGATCAGGCTGTAGAGGTGTTGCAGGACGAGGGAGGCTGCAGAGTGCTGTTTCAGCTGTGTTTTAGAAGCAGTTGATGTTCACCGGGGCGTCGATGTCGGCGAAGAGCGTGCTGCTGTCCCCACCATCGGGGCTCTCCAGCGCCTGATAGCCTTGCCGAACAATCGCCGCTCTCCTGGTGCGCCCCAGCCCCCGGAGCACGAGGATGGCCAGGACGTGCTCCTTCCTGCAGAAACCACAGAATCCCAGCATGTCAGGAGTGGGAAGGGACCTGGAAAGCTCCCCCAGTGCAACCCCTGCCAGAGCAGGATCACCAGAGCAGTCACACAGGAACACGGCCAGGGCTTTGGGTGTCTGCAGACAAGGAGACTCCACAACCTCTCTGGGCAGCCTGGGCCATGCTCCAGAACCCTCACACTCACAAACTTTGGCCTCATGTTGAGGCTGCACCTCCTGTGCTCCAGCTTGGGACCATTGCCCCTTGTCCTGGCATTGGCCATCCCAGAGCAGAGCCTGGCTCCTTCCTCCTGACACTGCCCTTTCCAAATTGATAAACCAGACCCTGCTCAGCGCTGGAGGCAAAGCAACCAAAAACCACACTGGGGATGGAGCAAGGGCATGGCAAAGAATTGGGGAATGTCCCATCCCGTTCTGGTGCAGCCACTGGGATGGGGTCTGCAGCCTCCAACTCGGGCTCCCACCAGCCCACAAAACAGCCCCTCCTGCTGCTGGTGCTTGGGGAATTTCCTCCTCCATCTCCATGCACACACACGTGACATCTTTTGTAAGTGTTCCCGAGCTGCTGCAGACCTTTTATTTAATGATTATTTTGAGCTGAGTAATGGAAGTGCTAATATTTAGGAAGCTGACAGGCACTAATTAGACTGGAGCTGGGAAAGCCAAGGTGGAAACGTACCCAGTTCCAGTAATTTCAGCCTATGCAAACCCACAACGGCTCCGCAGGGGATGAGCGAGCAGGACCCGAGCAGGAAGCACTGCAGGTCCAGCAGGTCCTGCCCTGTTTTCCAAACTTTATTGTTAAAAATAACATTACTCCATAAAGGAGAGCCAGGAAACAGATCAACCAAGGGGTGAGCATTAACACCTGGCTCGGGTCTAAGGGCAACGATGAAAAAGTACCACAAATCACAGCCCTGTAAATGGCTTTTCTGCCTGGAAAGTTGTTTTCAAATAGCTAAGTCTGACGAGCCATCATTTACCTCCCGCAGCCTTCCCAGAACAGGCACTGCCTCCTCTGTCAACTTGGCCTGGATTAAGGACTTTGGTTTTTGTGGTATAGGTGTGTTCACCTAGGAAATTACTCAGGAACAATTATTCTTTTTCAAGTCCATGTCTTGAATTTCCTCTCACAGATAAGCCCAAAACATTATCTGACCCACTCAGGTTAAATCACACAGAATCACAGAATCACAGAATGTTAGGGATTGGAAGGGACCTCAAAAGATCATCTAGTCCAATATGCTTAGGAAAACTTTTGAGCCTCAGTTTTAGGGAGAGGAAAACATATTAAATGTCATTTTTTCTTCTGAATATTTGAGGGACCACTTCAGCATTCTGAGAAATTTGTTGTATTTATGGTTTACTTTGATTGTATAAATATTATCCAGCTGCAACTGCGTAACCCAGTGCAGAAACCTTTGGTCTTTTTCTGAAATGACCCCATGAAATGGGTGTTCTTGCAAGCTCTACCACTAACATTTATTATGAATGGTTGGTAGAAGGGCTGTGGGGGAGGACGTAACCTCTGATACGCAGCTGCTTCGCCATGCACAGAGCTAATAATTTACTTTGTTTGCTTTTCCAGTAGCCTTACATGTTGCAGATGCTGCTTTGGAACAGCAAATGGAAAGCACGAAAGAAAGAATTTGTGATTTATTCCCAAAATTAATGGTTGCGCTGAGCCCCTTGCAGGAACCATGGATGAACTCTGTTGACGTCTGCTGTGCTTCGAGGTCTGAGATCAAATATTTGCTCCAGAGCTGGAGCCTGGAGCTGGGCTGATACTGGGGATGCACCAAAAGGCACCCTGGACCTGAAACAAGGTCACCTTGGAGCAATGCAATGATTTCCATGTGTGGAAATGGCTCAAAGCTGCATCGAGGGAGGTTGACACTTCAGGAAGCATTTCTTTGCTGAGAAAGTGGTCAAATGCTGGACCAGGCTTCCCAGAGAAGTGGTCAATGCCCCAAGCCCATCAGTGTTTAGGAGACATTTGGACCATGCCCTTAATAACAAGCATTAATGTTTGGCCAGGCCTGAAGTGGTCAGGCAGTTGGGTTAGATATCACTGCAGGCCTTTTCCAACTGAAATATTCCTCTAGTCTAAAATTAAAAAGCTTTTCAAGTAACCTGGGTGCATTATAAGGTCCACCAGATGGGTAAAAAGGACACAACCATTAAGGAAAATAAGGTGAGACCCCAAATGCGTGGCCACCAGCAAAGAAGAGAAGCTGAAGAGATTGGCCAAGGCACAGGGCGAGCTGGCTCTGTCTGGGCTGGACCCCGGCATTTTTGGTGTCTGCCGTTGCACGTACCTGATGTCGGGATAGTCCTGGCACAGCTCCTTGACGTACTCCTTGATCTTGTCCTTCCTCTTCTCCCCGATGATGTTGGCGATGTGGTGGATGGCGGGGAGGAGCCAGTCGGAGTCAGAGCCCTGCGGAGGAGGAGAAGGAGGCACATGGGGGGACATCAAAGGGGAGCAAAATGCTTTTTACCTGCGGAGCAGGGCAGCAGGTCTCTTTTTCTGGGGTCAGCCAGGACAGGCTGCCCTAGAGCGTTCAACTTCGGCTTCCCTGAAAAACCCAGACTGATCCCTAGCCACAAGATGTGCAAACATCTGCAATTTTCTCCCCATTTCCTTCCTGTGTGCAGATGGTGTGCACCCATCTCCATGATCCTCGAGGCAAGGTGCATCCCATGGCCCAAGGGAACAGACACAGGATCAAGATGCCCCAGGATGAGATGGACCCTCCAGCACTTAACACATCCCACACAAAGCGTGATGAAACGCTGCAATTACCCTGCAGCGACCACCTTGCATCCTCTCTTTTAAGGACTTGAACATATTTTGAGGCTTGCTCTCCTCAAAATCCTGATGCCTTGGTCCCCAAGAAGCCAAGCAGTGACATTGCACCTCCAGGAATGGGCCAACCAAGGGGTGCCAGGAGAAAACCCGTACCTGATCGATAAGTGTGTTATTAAGGATCCTGGCTTCTTGGCTCATCTTCTCACTCACTTGCTGCCGCGTCTCCGCGTTCATTTTCCGCCTGGGTTTGATGACCTGCGCGATGTATTCCCTCACCACGTACTTATGGACGTCACGTAGGAGATCCTGGTTAAAAAAACCCACAGAAAACCTCACGGTTTTTCTGTAGTTCCCATGCAAGGTCACGGCAGTGCAGGGAAGGGGAAGCCCTTGGGTCTTCAGCAGCAGCTGAAGGCAGAGAGGGGATGTGCAGAGCAACAGCAGTGACCCAGGGAAAGCCATAGCAATACTCCTCACCCTGAAATACCCCACGGTTTTGTGTCAGCAGTTTGGCTCCTCAGTAGCAATGAGGGAAATTAAGGATGGTTTTAAAAGCAGGTTTTGATGGCGCGTGCAGATTTTAAACATAGAGGTGCTGTCACCTACCCATTTATTTCACAACTGCACTGATGTGAAAGGAGCAAATAACCCTGCGACTCACGGGATTATAATGCTCACCAGAGCTTTTTGTTCCTCTTTAAAGAAACCTGTTCCCATAATTAAACTGCAGAAAGGAAAGATGTTGCTTATGTGGAAGCATAGTAACAGCTGAACCACCCCATGTCAGTGATGCCCTTGGTTATAAACAGCCCCTGACACTGAGGAGGGGTCTGCAGGAGGGACCACGGCCTGAAGGTGACAGTGGGACCCCCTCAGCATCACCGTGTCCGGGCACAGGACCATCTACTTACCAGCCCCATGGGGTTCCTCATGTGCTTCAGGTGCTCGGAGAACCGTGAGACTGCTGATACCAGCATGGACGGCTTTTCCGTCGCCAAAATCCAGTCCTTGGTCAGGATTTTCTTGAGGAGTGGCTGAAAAAAAGAGAACAATTCATTGATCGCACTGGCGGAACAGGCTGTGGTGTGCAACCGTGTACACCAATGTCACACAGGTTTACATCAGCTATGGGCATGATGAGTCACTTGGTATTGGAGCTGTTGGAAATCAGCTTCTCCACAAGGAAACCAAGTTCCTCTTGCACTTTTGGGGTGGTGTCTGTACCCCCTGCAGACCCATGTGTCTGTACTGGGATTTCTCTTTTGCTCGTTGCTCTGTTGTGGTGGGGAGGGAAGAGCAGCTGGGAGCATCCCCAACCTCATGTCTCGTGGTCCATGATGATGTGGGAGTGATGCTGCTGTTCCCCATCTGCCCTGGGTACAAGCAGCCTATTTCCCTTGCCATGTCCCTAGAGCTAATGTGCCTTCGCATAGAGACACAGCAATACCTGCTAAAGGCTTCTGGTGACACCTGGAAGAGACTTTTCTAAAGGCCAAATTCAAAATATGGCACATCCCTTTTGTACTTAAAGGTAATTTCAGTTAACCTCACTGTTTGCTCATCCAGCCCAGACCTCATCAGCTTCTCTATGAGGATCTTGGAATCATTTGGTTGGAAAAGACCTTTAAGATCATCGAATCCAACCATAACCTGTCCTCCACAACTTTCCCCCTCTTAGCTCTCAGGATTTTGGTTTTCAGACTCCTGGCAATCTCCTTCCCAATTATTCCCCCCTCCTGTGGTGCTGTTTAGAATCGCTGTGCCTTGGCCGCTCTGGTTTCTCACGGCATTTCTGCTCCCTTGCTCAATGCCTTGGCTCGGCTCCATCCTTGCATCAGGCCCCGAGACAAACTCTGCTGTCACTGGGAAGTCCCTTTGGCTGGGTGGACTTGGTTTAAATCAGAGCAGCTGAATGACTCCCTTGGTTTCTGGAGGTTATTCTTGGTGATTTAGGAACAGAATTAGGATGAGTGAAAAGGGGGGGACACTAAAGTCTTAATTTCCCTCATTTCTTGTGTTGTAGCAGACCCCAAGTTGGCTGAGAGTAGAAAGTCTCATCCACAGCACAAACTGCATTGCAGCACATTACCTTTTAGACCTCTTAACACAATTTAGGTTGGTACCAGAGCTTTATTGGTTGATACCAGGGATTTATTGGTTGATACCAGGGATTTATTGGCTGATACCAGGGATTTATTGGTTGATACCAAGGATTTATTGTCTGATACTAGAGCTTTAGCATCCTCACGCTGAAAGATTCAGTCTTCACCATGGAAACAGCCTGGAAAAAGCCCCTCTACCAGAATGAACCCTGTCCTGTCCAAAAAGGCTGATAACAGACCATGATGGCAAATCTATGAATAAGTAAATGTGAATAAAATGTGAAAAATGCAAGTGTTTTGATAGAAGAAAAGATGTCCCATTTGGGATATTCAGCTGACTTCCCTTTGGTTCCCCTGCTTTGCCCAGGGTGCTGGAAGCCAATAAATACCATTTGCTTTCGGTTGCTGCTGTACTAAAGAAAACATCTTGCCAAATAGATCATTGCTCATGGTGGAAAATTCCCTGGATGCTGGAAGTGTTGCTTTGGGCTAAGGAGGATTTCTACATATGTTAGGCATTTCGGAGGGACCGTGAGGTCTGGTTGGTGAGATGAGGGAAGGGCAATGGCCCTCAGCTGCTGCACTGGTCCTGCACATATATCTATTGATATTATGTTTAGGAAATAAAGTGGCCAAGGTCCTTTTACCTGTGCTTTTGTTCTTAGTTTGTTTAAAAAAGTGTTCGTGAAGTTGCTTGTCAGGGCTGCCAAAATCTTCTTCAGTTCCTCTGTGTCGACTTCAAACGCCGTTTCTAACCCTGACCTAGAGAGAAAGAGGGAGACACCACCAATGGGTTAATGCTGGAATGCAAATTATTGCACTGCCCTGAGCCTTTGATCCAGATTGGCATCTTGGGCGTTATTTTTAAGTAAATTTATGTATCTAGTACTTCCTCTTGGAGACACTCAGTGGGGCAAAGTAATGAGTCCTTTTGCACAATCCTAGGGACTGAAAATTCATCCCAACCGAGTAACTGTGTTTAAAACCCACCTATTTCCTCATCAGGTGGGGTGGTTCACCCATGCGGAGCGGCCGCGTGGGCTGTGACTCTGTCACTTGAGCAACGCTCGTGCTCAATGATCTCCATTTACCCAAGAGAGCACCAAGGGGCTGATGGGGTGAGAGAGAAGTAAATAATAAATCCAGAGAAGGGAAAGTGGCTGACTCTGTGTCCCCCAGAGCTTGGCTGACTCACGGCCATTGACCGGGAAGTGAAATAAAGTGAAAATTGGTGGAGTTTCCTAAGGACAGGGTGTATTTCTGCAGGGTTTCACAATAAACAGGGAGAAAACACAAATTCTGATGGGGTTAATGAACCCCTAGCAGTGTGTGTGGGCTGTGGGGGCATTGTGGGCTTCTGGCTTCCTTCTCATTTTCCATAGAGGAAGCAACACGCTCCAGAGGAAACTGAGGCAGCGCCACTAAAATGTCTGTGGTCCTTGAGCATCCCTGGACGTGCCAGGTCCACTATGAGCACAGACCTGGGCTGAGGCTGCCCAGGAAGGACTGCAAAACCCATAAGAGCCGGTCCATAACTCCTGCGGAACCCCCGAAATCTGCACCCAGCATCCCCAGAACCACGCTGCCAGGGCACCTACCTCTGCCCAGCGCCTCAGCACCCCAGGCTGACAAATATCTAACATAATTTAATATCCCAGGGCTGGGTTCTCCCTCCACGACCTTGCCAGTTCCCAGCAGCGAAGGGAGAGCAAGTTTTTACAGGAGGAGGAGGAAAAAGCCGCTGCTCATCCAGAGGAGCATTGCTGGAGAGACCGTGCCATCTAGAGACTTGCTGATGGTAGTGCTCGCTGCCACTGGAGCTGTCGGCTCCTCCGAGACACCGCAAAGCCAAATCTTCACATCCCATGGATGAATTTTGTCAGGGCTGAGGGTCACAGACCAAGCCTTTTAGTGGCCAGACCCCAGGCTGGCTGGGTTGGCCTCTGAAGCACCACATCTGTGTGACAAGGGGGACCCCAGATGTTGAAGAGCCCCCAGTTATTGGTGGTTATTGGTTATTGTGTGGCTGCAGACTGTTCCCCCGGGTCGGTGCCATGAAAACAGCCCCAGTGCCATAAAAACAGCCCCAGCGCTATATGAACAGCCCCAGTGCCGTAAGAACAGCCCCAATGTCATAAAAACAACCCCAGTGCCATAGGAACAGCCCCGGTGCCATATGAACAGTCCCAGTGCCATAAAAACAGCCCTGGTGCCATATGAACAGCCCCGATTTCTTGTGGCATTGGCACCAGGGGGCTGATGTGGGGTGGGAAGCGCAGGGTCACCACATGCCACAGCACTGGGCTGATGGACCTGACCCTGGGACACACCGTGATGGGTATCATCCTACTTATGGGGTGAGCACTCCTCTCCTGAAAGTACATTTTAATACTCAGAGCTGCTGGGCATACCTGTTTGTCTAAGGCTTTTTCAATGTATGTCTTTAAATAACTAATTCTTAATACACACAAAGCCCTATAGTTGCTCCTGCCAGCAGCCATAGCAGGGGTTTATTTGGGGTTGAGTGCTTTCACGGGGTTTCCTCCAGCCCAGTGCCAAAAGCAGCCATCAAAATCAAAAAATGAAAAGAAATCCTTCCTCTGTGGTTGAAAAAAATGGGCTGAAAATGAATCTTTTGCCCTGGTGAAGTGACTTTTATCTGCATTGCTTGGGCAACATCACCCCCGTGAGGTGAGGAAGGGCTGGAGGCTGAGCACCAGCCAGGACACCCCCCAGGACACCCCCCAGGACACCTCGGTTGTTCCTTTTTGGATGCTGCCACCCTCCCAGACCCCAGCACTGCATCACCTTGGGGGAAAACGGACTTACACCAGGTCCTGGAAGCTGTTGATGTAGGCAGCGAAATAGGACGCAAAGACGGGGCTGTCCCGGGCACTGCTCCACACCACAAACTCCTCCCCGAACCTGCAGGAGAAGACATGGGGTAACGCCGAGTTTGGGGGACCGAGGGGGGCTCATCTGTGCACACCACAGTGTCAGTATGGCCCAACCTGTCCCCTCCGTACGTGGATGCGTTGGGTTTTTTCCAACTGTCACAACACGTGTGTGCACTGGAGGGGAATGGATGACAGATAATTACGGGTTTAGGGCACGCAGTGGTTTTGGAGGGAGGCCAGGGATCTCGGCATGACAACTCTCTGTTCCTCACGCCGAGGGATTAATTACAACCGTGGTACTGGGGTTTATCAGTCTGGGCCTTCATTTCTCTGGCTTTTGGGACAATATAATCACAGAATCACAGCGTGGTTTGGGTTGGAAGGGACCCCAAAGCCCCCCCAGTCCAACCCCCATGGGCAGGGACACCTCCACCAGCCCAGGCTGCTCCCAGCCCCGTCCAACCTGGCCTTGGGCACTGCCAGGGAGGGGGCACCCACAGCTTCTCTGGGCAACCTGGGCCAGGGCCTCACCCCCCTCAAAATGATGAATGTATTCCCAATATTCATTCTAAATCTGCCCTCTTCCAGTTTAAAGCCATTACTCCTCATCCTGTCACTCCATCCTTTGTAAAAAGTCCCTCCCCAGCTTTTCTGTAGGACCCCTTCAGGTCCTGGAAGGTCGCTATAAGGTGCCCCCGGAGCCTTCTTTTCTCCAGCTGAACCCCAACTCTCTCAGTCTTTCTCAGTCTGCTCCAGCCTCTGATCATTTTCATTGCCCTGCTGTGAGTTTTGGGTACAAATCCCAGCCCCACCTCCAGCACATCTGCATTTCACATCCCACCTTGTTCCTGACTGCAACAAGACTTGACTTGACTCTTGCCTGCGTGCCCTCTTAAACAAGGAAAGGATTTACCTCACGGCTGATTTTTACAAGAAAAGGTGAATAAGAACAGGGCAGCACGCCTACATTTCCCCCCATAACCACAGTGGGGTGTGTTAGGAAGCTGTTTTCTGTGGATTTTATGGTTTTGAGAGCTATTTTACAGCCAGGCCCACACTGCTGGCAGGAGGCTGCGTGCTCAGACAGGCTTTGCCTGGTGGTCTCATTCCTTATTGGGGTAAAGGAACCTGCTTGGGCCTGCCTGAGCCACCTGCATCTCGGGTTTGTGGAAGAAAAAGCTTCGGTTTCAGTGATTTTTTTTCATCTGGGAGTCCTTGTTGTCCCGGCTTGCATTTTACACCAATTTTGCTTGTAAAAAATTACAAAAAAATAGAAAAAAAAAGAAAAAAGAAAAATTAATCTAAAAAAAAAGAGAACAAGAAAAAAACAAATTTTAAAAAAGAAAAAAGGAAAAAAGGAGAAAAACCCACCAAAATCATAACATTGGTACTGCATTTCTCCTCAAAAACCCATCAGCCTTCAAAGCCAAATAGCTTTTTTGACCTTCCCTACCTGCTCAGAGTAGGGGAGACAAGTGTAGATGGCTGGGCCATTGGAGATGAGGATTTAGATGGGAAAACGTTGCCTTTAGCGCGCTTTGACCACCCGCTATGGCCAGGGTTCACCATCCCATAAAGCACTGGGGCTCCCTCCTGCAAAACACCCATTACCAAACTCAGCTCCTGACAGAGGTGGGAAACCTCAAAGGTGAATGTGAAATTACTTTTAGTTTCATTTAGAGTTGATTCATGCTCCAATGAGCGGCTGTGTCCCCCCAAAACACAGTCACAGTGTTGGGGAGGGGAAATGCCTTGCTGGGCCAGGACCCTCTGCAAGTCAAAAACCTGGAGCATCCCCAAAGCATGACACAGGGCAGGAGGTCTGAGGCTGTAACTTGGGGACTACCCAGCAGAAAACCATCATTTCAAAAAGGGGAAGGGTCCTGTGACCTTTGGGCACCGCATGGCCAGGACCCTCTGCAAGTCAAAAACCTGGAGCATCCCCAAAGCATGACACAGGGCAGGAGGTCTGAGGCCGTGACCTGGGGTCTACCAAGCAGAAAACCATCATTTCAGCAAAGGGGAAGGGTCCTGTGACCTTTGGACACCGCATGGCACTTGGGGACATGGTTTAGTGGCCATGGTGGGGTTGGGTTGATGTTGGACTGGATGATCTTGGAGGTCTCTTCCAACCTTAATGACTCTGTGATAAATTTTAAGAAGACTGAGAAGGAAGCTCAGTCGTATGTTTTGCCTGGGTGTCACAGGGGGTGTCCCATCTCTTGTCAGGCCTCACCCCGGGACACCTCAGTGATGTTTTGATGGAGGCTCTGTTCTGGGGCTCCATAACTGCTGCCTGCTCATGGGCTGTTGCTGCAAGCGCCCAGCATCCAACACCACAAGGGTCCTGGATGGATGGGAACACAGGGGTCCCATCCCCTTTCCAGCCAGCAACTCCTTCCCAGAGCCCTGACCTCAGATTTTTGGACTCCCAAGAGTCCCACCTAGCTCTGGTTATGACTCCCTCCAAGTCATTTTGTTGCTTGCTCATTATTTGGCTAATTGTGCTCTCCAGTTCTCTCAGGAGCAGGCCCGTGCCTGCTCAGTGCCAGCCTCTGGCCCAGTATATGAACTTTTCCTGGATTTTTTTTACCAACGTAGGACTCATTTGGAAGGAATGCGCTGCCCGGAGCGGTGATGACCTTGGTATGAATTCATGCAGCTCTGCCAGGCACAGCTCAAGCATTTTCCTTCCCAAGCTTCTGCTGATGGCTCCAGAGACCTTCACGTGCTCCCCAATGATCTAGAAAAGGGCATGAAAAAACCAAAAAACAGTGAATAGGACAAGCATGGGAGAAACATCCTTTGTACGCCTCTCGTGCCGTTTTGGTTAATGGAAACGACTCGCCTTCCAGGGGATCACACAACGTCTAATACTGCTCTATGGAAAATGAGTCAGGGCAGCAGGCAAAACTCTTTGAGTTTCTTTCTTTCTTTCTCTCTCTTTTTTTGTTTTCGGTAGTATTTAATTGAAATGACTCAACCCTTTGAGCGAGGAGAATGAATCCGAACCCCTCCTGGATTTATTACCCTGTGGTCCCTAAAGCGAGCAGGAGCCTTTGTTTTCTGCACTGTTTAAATTGGAGTGGCTGTCACTGCCTGCGGCCTTTCCGGGACAAAGTCGCTCTTTCAGCCAAGGGGTTTTTCTACCAAACCCTTTCTTTCCACCTTATTTTCCCCTTTCTCTTTCTTCTTTCTAATCAAAGAGATTTAAGGACATTAAAATCAGTTGCCTATTATGTTGCTGCCACAATTGACAGCAGGTTTAATTTGCAGCTAGAAGGCAAGCGGGAGAGCTAAAAGTTGTAATAAATGGCATTTTCTGCTCTAATGTATTCTGCCAGTGCGTGACTAACATAAATTATAGCAGGAGGCGGCGCCTCCACCCCGGAAGGTAGCAATCCAGTTTCCCTGGAGCCCCCACGCTTTGCCCCTGCTAATTAAATACCGCTTGAATATCAAAGGAGAGCGAGGAGTGGTAGAGGTTTTCCGTCACTTCTGGATGAACTTCCTTCTCCCACTTCTCCGCGACCTCCAGTCTCAGGATGTTTCCAAAATAGCTTTTGATTTTCCCCTAAAATGTTAAACGTGGGAAGGGAAAAAATATCAGCTCAGGGTAAAGAAACGAGCACGAGTTAAGGCGGCGTTTTGCTCTATAGACACGTGGGTACGGCTCACGTATGCGGCGTGGAGGCAAAGGTCTTGCTCCGGATCCTGTCGGACTACACAGGATCTCAGGGAAAGATCAGGAGCGTGGGGTCAAGGTCCTCCCAAATCAAAGGAGAACGAAGGGAGATAATGTGTCAGCTGCTGGGCAGCCTGATGGCAAAGTCCTCCAGCACGAGGATTAGAGAGCAAACTGGTCCTTTCTGGTGTGATAAATCAGCCTTGTTGCTGGTGAAACAAAGTGATCCTTCCCCAGCATGATGGAGCAACACTGATTTTATCCATCCGGGTTATTTCAGTTCACCTTCAGCAGTGCCCTCCTTCATAAATGGTTTGGGAGACAACGTCTGAGCCCAAAGACCCATAGGATGGTTTGGGTTGAAGGGACCTTTAGAGCCCATCTCATCCAACCCTGCAGTGACAGGGACATCCCCAACCAGATCAGGGTGCTCAGACCCCGTCCAACCCAAATGTCTGCGGGGATGGGGCCTGCACCATCTCTGGGCAACCTGGGCCAGGATTTCACCACCCTCAGCATCAAAATTTCTCCCTGATGCCTAATGTAAGTCTACCCTGCTCCGGTGTAAAGCCATTGCTCTTCATCCTATTGCTACATACTCAATTTTTTGTGTAGGCACGTGGGGGCAAGGTCAAAGCTCTCACCTTTGCAGAAGTCATGTAGTCGTTCTTCAGTTTATCCCAATTGGCTGGCGTTAACAGCAGGGACAGGTTCTCTGTCTTAAATTCCGGTTTGAGATCAGGGTGACCCAGAAAGTGTTCACTGGAAAGATCCAAAAGGACAAATTACGTTGCCCTGGAGTGTGAGTAAACTGATGGAATATTCATGCGACATGAGCTACATAATTATTAAGCCGTGAGAAATGTACTTAAAGCTTAAATTGCGATGCTTGTTTTCAAGCTTTAACGAGAAAATCTTGCCTCGCTATTCAAAATCCTAATTATTCAAAATCAAAATGATCTCAGGTTCCAGCCCACCTTGGAAATCATGAGACTTCTGAGTTGTTTGGACACGAAAAGTGCTATGAGAATTTACTTTATTTTCTTCAAGTAAACAACTCAAGGCTGATTCATTTGACTGCCAAAGTGCTTGTTTTCAAGCTTTAACGAGAAAATCTTGCCTCGCTATTCAAAATCCTAATTATTCAAAATCAAAATGATCTCAGGTTCCAGCCCACCTTGGAAATCATGAGACTTCTGAGTTGTTTGGACACGAAAAGTGCTATGAGAATTTACTTTATTTTCTTCAAGTAAACAACTCAAGGCTGATTCATTTGACTGCCAAAGCC